GGATTAAACTGTCAGGTGTCGCATTTTGTTAAAGGGTGGGTGTTAGTGCCTAATGTGTGTTTTTGTACAAATGATCACAACAGTATTGATCGTGTATGGAACGCTGTTGGTGACTTCGTGTTTTACTATTTTTGTTTCTGAAAAAAAACCTGTATTCTTTAATGGAGCTACCATTTGATTTTTATGGGGGGGGGGGGGGGGGGGGGGGGGGGGGGGGGGGGGGGGGGGGGGGGGAGGCTAGGATGAAATTTGAAAAAAATAGGCAGGACAGGAGTTTAGTGTAAAAAAAAAGGCAGGATGAGATTATTTGCAAAAAAAAAGGCAGGATGACAATTTATGTAAAAAAAAAAGTCAGGATAAACTAAAAAAAAAAGGCAGGACCGAATAGAGTGAAAAATAAAAAGGCAGGACCGAATAGAGGGAAAAATAAAAAGGCAGGACACAATTTTTCATCCTAGCCCCCCCATAAAAATCAAATGGTAGCTCCCTAATGTATTGAAGTCTAAAGTGACAAATGCTTGCGTATTTAGTTGGTATATAAAAGAAATAATATTGTTTAAAAGAAAGTTGAATTAATCTAAACATTGATTTTTGCTAATGTGTACTTATGATTGTATAATTCTTCGAGATTTTTAGTATTTGTTAAAAAACAACCGGACACATTTAATCGTGTAACATGAGGTCACATATGCCCTACTAGTGGTGGTTTTCTCCCTGAGGGTATCACCAGTCAGTTAGTCCGCACTTCTGTGTTGATATAAATTATCATTGATATGATCATTGATGATCATCCTTATAAATAAATATAAATAAGAAGATGTGGTATGAGTGCCAATGAGACAACTCTCCATCCAAGTCACAATGAATGTGTAAAAAAAGTAAACAATAATAGGTCAAAATACGGCCTTCATCACGGAACATAGGCTAACACCGAACAGCAAGCTATAAAGGGCCCCAAAATGACTAGTGTAAAACAATTAAAACAGGAAAACCAAATGTCTAATCTATATAAAAAACGAGAAACGAGAAACACTTACGAACCACACCAACCATGCCAACAAACAACAACCACTGAACAAAGGCTCCTGACTTATGAAATGTTTACAAACCTTTATATTTTTCAAAAAGTAAGGATTTTCACCCCATTAAACAGTTTACATTATATATATTTGTCAAAACCTTTTGGAATTTGAGTCATCAATGCTTTTCAATTTCGTCCTTTATTTGGCCTTTTTAACATTTTTCTTCCAGTGTCACTGATGAGTCTTTAAATTTATTGACGAAACGCGCGTCTGACGTACACAATTTAAATGCTGGTATATATGTGTAATATATATAAATTACGTGACAGAATATGAAGAACAAAACAAAACAAAAGTACAAATCAAAGAAATGCATAACAAATAAACATTTTAAAGTCAATATATATAAGTTCCTAACATAAAACTGCATGAGTGTGAAAAAACTATGAAAATATATTCACCATATACTTGTATTTGATTCGATTTGACACTAACAAAAGAAATGCATAATCTTTCTGATGAAGAAGGGTAGCCTTTTGTATCTATATATTTCACTATTCCAAATAGACAGTAAACGTTCCAACTTGCAAGTCAATAAAAATTATCCCATACTTAATTGTATCATCCCATATGCCAAAAGGTCAATTCATAACGGAAAGTAATATTTATTTATTTATTCGATAACTCCATAATTAAAACAAGGATTTGTACTATACAAATCCTTGATTAATTAAAGTTCAAAATTTTCTTTTTCTCACATCTTGTAATACAACTTGAATGCCCTGATTTTTGTCAGAATATTTAATACTGCGGGTTTTGGTCCTTTTGCCATCACTTGGCCTCTGTCGTCGTCGTCGTCTGTCGTCGTCCGTTAGCTTTAAAAACATCATCTCCTCTGAAACTACTATACCAATTAAACACACTTGGCCACAATCTTCTTTGGAGTATCTAGTTTTATAAAGAGTGTCCAATGATGCCACCTGACAAGCAACATGGCCGACATGGCTAACAATAGAACATAGGTGTAAAATGCAACTTTCTTAATTTATCTTGAAAACCATTATAAAAAGAGAAATATTGACATGGACAAAAGTGTAAAGAAGAATGAAATCAACATTTTGTCTTTAACAACAAAACTGTCAGACGACTCCCTGTAGGAGTTTATGCTCATAAATGACGAATTTTACCGTTATTTTTTTGTTTAATTTTTGGCTTTTATCTTGAAAATTAAAATACTAGACAAGCTTTTTGAAGGAAAAAAAGTATCAACAAGACAAGATCTATAAATAAGTGTACATGGCTGAAATCGTTAGTCAATTTTTTATTGAAGTAATTGCCCTTTACTGACTACTTTTGTCAAGACTGCGACGAAAGTATGGTTACTGCAGGTCTTCTTCCGACTGATAGTAAAACTCTTGCCGGAGTTTGGCGCCCGTTTGGCTGTGCGGGATGTATCAAGTACGCAACCACGTCCGGTCAGAAAGGGGACCTTAAATCCGATACCTCGTGTAGAGAGAGTGTCATGCTATCTGCACGTTAAGAATTCTTTGAGGGCCTGTTGCAAGACAAAATTTCTTTCCCTATATCAAGTTTACTCTCATTTTCCAGTGGAATTCTAAATTTTCCAGACCTTTGTCCCGGACGGCGTCTCTTACATGAACTACCTATTTTTGTTAATTTGTTCTCGTCCTGAACATGCATGAAATATTTGCCACTGTACGTTAATTAACCAACAGTCAAATAATCAATCCTTTACCGGTGACGATGGCGTCAACAATTGTTAAATGTTCTGTATAAGTTAGTTTGATAAGAACTACTTGTGATAGATCAATGATATTTTGTATGAAGTTGCTTTACTATTAGTACATATCACTTTGACGACTATTTTGAGGACCCCTTAGGTCATGGTCAAGTGACTTGGAATTATTTAGCAATTTGCAATGTTAAGTCTTTGCTAAAGTTGGTTTGATATGAACTTCTTGTAATATTTTGTATGAAGTATCATTACGATCAGTACATACAAGTATAACTTTGACGACTATTTTGAGGATCCCCTGGATCAGGGTCCAGCGACTTTGAATTGATTAGCAATTTTCAATGCCCTTTACAAACTGCAATAGTTTTCTGCAAAATTCAGTTTGATGTGAACTGTAAATGAAAGATCAATGATATTTTCTATAAAGTTGCATTACTATCAGATCATATCAATTAGACCACTACTTCGACTCTCTGCACCCTGAGGTCATGATCCAGTGACTTTCAATTAGTTTCAATGGACAACGATATTTTCTATCAAGTTGCATCTCAGCTTGTTGACCATTTCGAGTCCCTGCCTACTAGTTTATGGTCCAGTGACTAAATAAATTAGCAATGTTGCTGGCCATCAGATTGTCACTGTCTGTCTACAGGCGAGACATATCTCTGTGTCAAAAGTTTATTAGTGTCTATTGTTTGCGTTTTTACCCTTTAGCTTGAAAATGATGGTCGATAGATAAAATCTGTAAGAACGAAAATGATCAATAAGACAAGATCTATTAATAAGTCAATTGCGAAACTCGTCAGATGACATTCGATAGAAGTTCTCGTCCTTCGATGAAGATTTTTACCAATTTTGTTTTCATTTTTGTCTATAATTTGAAAACTATTACAAATAGATAGAAATTTCAAAAACAAAAATGATCAGTTGACTCCTTATACAACATACAGGATGTAGGAGTTATCGTAAATGACGATTTTTCACCCTTTTTATTTTTGCCTATTATCTTGAAAACTATAAAAAAAAATCTGCAAATGTGTAGGTCATCTAACATGGAGATGAATTTGTCAGTTGTATTCTTATAGGAGGTGTTGCCCTTAAATGACGATTTTTTTTACACTTTTTTTGTGTTTGGACAAAACTAATAAAGATAGAAAATGTAAACAGAAAAAAATGGTCAGCAATACTGGTTGATAGATTTAAGTCATGAATGATGTTCTAGTCCCATGTAATGTAGAGTATACCTTGATCAAAATATGTATCCAGCCATTTGTAAAGGGGTTCCAACCAAGGAAACAGAGGATACATTTGTAAAAGGTGGGAAGGGTTCCAACCATATGTCCCCATCGATCATAGGCATTGATCTTCAAAAATGGGTTCTTGCCGCCGGATACTCCTCCTAACTGGACCGCCACTGATTAAAACAGCGCTTGTGCATGTAACAAGTTGTTTGTTTACTTCATGTTTTTAAAGAATTTATTACCTAGTACACTAATATAAGGGAACGACCATTTAACCTTCAGAGGGGATTTTTTCCCGTTCCACAGGAGCATGACATTTGTTTTTTTTTTTGTTCCACAGGAGCATGACATTTGGTTTTTTTTTGTTCCACAGGAGCATGACATTAGTTTTTTTTTGTTCCACAGGAGCATGACATTTGTTTTTTTTTTTGTTCCACAGGAGCATGACATTTGTTTTTTTTTTGTTCCACAGGAGCATGACATTTGTGTTTTTTTTTTCCACAGGAGCATGATTTTATTTTGTCACTCAAAGAACGACAAATTTTTAAGGAACTTAAAATCAAATTTAATGACAAAAGCTATTTATCAGAAAATATATTTTCCTCCCTAATCAAAAAAATTTATTTCTTAAAAATTGGGGATCAAATTATATTTTTTATTAAAAATATATAACCCTTCCCCCATCAGAGTTTAATGGTCGTTCCATTAGCAATTTTGTTTTCAAATAATTTCAACTGTGAATTCGGTCTACACCAGTGCTGTTAAGTCTCGCGCATATTCATGCTTATTTGGCGGTTTTTCCTTTGATATATTGTTTTTTTCTTTGATCTTTACATTTTTGCACAATCTCAGCATTTGCTTCATGAAAACTCAACAGCTCTGATACATAATTATGTAAGTGGGTTGGAAATAAATATTAAATGGTTTGGTTGGATATTAAATTATTCATTATTTACTTGGTTTATTTTCAGAGGAGAAACGTAGTATTTCATGGTAATGGAGATTTATCAAAACAGTGAAGCAAACCAGTTCTCTTGTGGTTTGTGTGGTGTAAATTTTAGTCTCAGCTATCTTTTACGTAAACATATTAAAACTCATACTGTTGGAAAATACAAATGCAACCTATGTGAAAAAGCTTTTCACGCGATCAAAGTTTTAAATGTACACACAAGAACACACACAGGTGAGGGGCCTTATAAATGTGACGTGTGTGGTCAAGGTTTATGTTCAAATCAATCTTTAAAATCTCACACGAGAATTCATACGGGTGAAAAGCCGTTTAGATGTATAGTATGCGAAAGACGGTTTAAACATCGTTCACATTTGTCAAGACATATAAAAATACACACTAATGATAGACCGTACGTGTGTAATGAGTGTGGAACACGATATATTGGGAGAACAGACTTAACACGACACATGATAAAACACACCGAGGAAAAAAGTACTGTGCGTGAAAAACCGTATAAGTGTGATGAGTGTGGTAAATGCTTTAAACATGATAAGAATATGAAAAAGCACATGAAAACACATAACTTACTCATAACAAGCACATCTGATAAAAGTCAAGAAATAGGTATTAGTAAACCTACCGATGACATTGTAATTGTACTTCACAAATGTAATTTTTGTGATGAAGCATTTAGCCAAAAAGGAAATATGTATGCACACCAGAAAACACACAAGAATGATAAAGAATTGAAATGTGATGTATGTGGTAATGGCTTTCCACAAAATATTGAGTTACAAGCGCACATAGAAATACACACTGGTGAAAAACTTTATAAATGTTATACGTGTGGCAATGAATTTATTTCTAATGCAAATTTAAAGATTCACATGAGAACACATACTGGCGAAAATCCGTTCGAATGCGAATTATGTGGTAAAAGGTTTAATCATGGTTCACATGTGTCACGACATATGAAAATACATACTGGTGAAAGACCATACGTGTGTAATAAGTGTGGGAAAGGGTTTATTGAGAAATGTGACTTAAAACGACATGATATGAAAACACATACTGAAAAACTCCAAAGTGTCACGAGTAACACGTATTCCGAAGAGAACAAGACTGTTCTCATATCTAAGGAGGAAAACTCTTCTAAATGTGATGAAGTTTGTAGTTTACACGTGAAAGAAAACGAGAAAACACAAACGCTTATTAAAAATGGCGAATCTTTTAAATGCAACAATGAAATAAATAAGTTAGACGATTCATGTCTAACTTCAAAGAATCATACGGGAACAGCTAATGGCTACACCCACACAACTGATGTTAAAGGTGAAGGTCAAAGTGAAAAGGAACACATACAGACACACTTGAAAATTTATACTAGTTTAAAACCTTTCAAGTGTAAGGATTGCGTGGAAGAGTTTTTGAAGGAGAGCAGTTTGCAGTCACATATGATCAAGCATTCAGGAGAGCAACCTTTTAAATGCAAGGAGTGTGGTAAAGGTTTTATGGGAGAAAAACGATTACAGTCACACTATTTAGTACATTCTGGAGATAGATCGTTTGAGTGCGATGAATGTGGCAAAGGATTCATAACAAATAGTTCTTTAAATGCACACTTGATAACGCATTCTAGTGACAGACCTTTTAAGTGTGTTATATGTAACAAAACATTTAAGCAGCAGGCATGCTTACAAAATCATGCAAGAATACATTCGCCTGAAGACCAGTTTGAATGCGATGTATGCAACAAACGCTTTGCTGCAAGAAAAAGCTTAAGAAGGCACAGACGAATACATACAGGAGAGACAAGCACATGCAATATCTGTGGGAAGGAGTTCACTTTTATTGATAGTATGAAGGCACATATGAGAACACATACTGGTGAAAAACCATACATGTGTACTAAATGTGGGAAGCGATTCAGTCAATCACAAATTTTGAAAAGGCACATGAAAATCCATACGGGTGAAAAACCTCATATGTGTGATGAGTGTGGTAAACGGTTTATTGATGGCAGAGACATGAGGAGACATATGAAAATACATACTAGGAAAAAAGTTAATTGTACTTAGATTAAAGACTAAGAATTTATGAAATGGCAGACCACATTGAAAAGAGGCGGGAAAATACCTCCTGAATTTATTTCACAATAGGGTCGTACATTAGCAGTACGTTTTTACATGATAACATATTCGTGTGTGTATATTTAATTCTAGAACCAGGGGCGTAGCTACCAGGAGGCATAACAGCACGTGCATCCACGTCGTTTTCACAAAAAAAAAAAAAAAAAAAAACAGAGAGTGAGAGGGAGAGGGGACAAAGTTAACTTATAGGAATTAGTCTTTCTATGTATGCATTTTAAAAACTACACAAATAATACGAGCAAGAGGAATACACATGCAGCGAAATTTTTAATCCTGTAAGACATGTATGTGTACGATAATTTACATACAACTGGTGTTAACATGGCGGAACTTTTTATATTACGGACATTGTTAAGAAACAAAACAGCTACATAGTTGTCGGTACCACCACCATAACGTATACTCGCCTTGGGTGCAAACAAACAACATAATCCCTTTAGGGTTAACAAAAAAACTTGAAAATTATTATTTTCCGCTTCTCCCGAAAGCACACATCTTACTAAAACGAAGACTCTTCAACTCGTATCGATCCGGGAATAATGACTGTTACCTTGTGAACTAGTTCAAAATTGACCAAGTATGTAGGTCTTGACAACACGAATACTTCATTTTCACAACACGTAAACGTATTCCCGTCCGGGTGTGCATGATATATTTGCTACTGGACATTAATAACCATTTGATCAATCAATAGTTTCCGTAAACTAATAGATGAGAAGTTGGTACTGCTGTTATTATAAAGAAATTACACATTTTCCAGTACATGTATTACATGAAAAATTGATTGGTTGATTAAATAGGGAATCACTGAAGCATGATTGGCGCGGGCCCCCTCTTTAAGCAGTCAGTGGGCCGCCACTTATGAAAATTTCTGGATCCGCCACTGATTTGGTTTTCGGGGGGTGGGGGGGGGGGGGTCTGAGATATTCAAGAGAAAAAAATCTGGCCCTGATTTTTGCCTTAAAAAAAATTCTGGCCGTACCAAAAACAGGCGTAATTTGTTTTTTTGGTTCACATGTAAATCCCAGGACACCCTCAGAAAATCAAATGGTCCGTGCCTATAAACTCTTGTTGGTATTTGAATTACTATTCTTGTGTTTCTTAATGTTTTTAAAAGGGGTTTAGACTAAAGAGAGGGATGTGACCGGAATGTCTGTGTCGCCGAACTGGTATACTGAGTACGTTTTTCAAGGACCGAATGCAACCTGACTGCTGGGTGTGTCCTTTAGGTCTCCATTTCTCGACCGCCATTCAGAACTTCATTGACATTTCAGCCTCATTCGTAGCCTTTGGTTGATTTGGAACCACTCACTTCCCTTTTTGGGTGAAACATTTCAACCATACATTTGGATAAAAATTGTTTTTTTTTGTCCGGCTTTCTTCGTGTCGGTCGTATTGTAAATTTCACTGAATGTTCGTATATCTTGTTTACAACAAGAAATCTGTGAGTTTATGCTAACTAATCGTACAGCAAACGTTAGTCACCGTTGCAATTTTTTGTCTCCCCTGCGACTTGTGTCACAAAAAAAAACCCCGAGACTTAGGGATAGTGATTCGGCGGCTCTTGAATTAAAAGCTTAATATTTCAAGGTAGGATATATTGATGTTTCATACTTTGTATATAGATGTCTTATGTTACAAACATACGATGACTAGGGAGATTTTTTCCATGTCCATTTTTTACTGACAAATCCCACATTAAATATATTGGTACATAGCTTTGGATCCATCCAATCATTTTATAATAGACAATTGATGGGGAGAATACGGCATCAACAATGTCCAACCCTTACACTTTAATTATAGAATATACATGCCCCACGTCAGGAACCGTTAAATTTTTCTTAATATTTTTTTGTTAATGTTACTTATTTGTATTGTTTATTGGTTATTTAGTAATACAATTGTTGTAGTTCATTTTTATAAATATCTTTTTCGAATTCAACAGGAATATACACACTTCAATATTATGGACATATGAAATAAAGCACAAAAAACTTATTTGTATTAACACGACATGAATGTTGACATTCCATTTTAAATTTTCTCGGTTTCATAAATGTTTGGACATGGAACCCGGGTAGTGTAATTCAACTTGTACAAGTATCTGGGCCCGTATGCATAAAACCACTTTAGTAAAGATATTAAATCGGAGTACTAAGTTATCGTATGACATGTAGAAAAATCGGTCCGTTCAGAACAAATCTTGAATAGCTTTATGCATACGGGTTCAGAATTGTTATATTCCATCATTGCCTTCTATTATCGTACGGCCATTACTACATGTATAAGCGTAGTCAGTTTAGACTAAACTCTAAAATCGCTCAACCTGCAACTAATTGCAAGTTTTTTACAGTACAAATTAGAACATATACTTGTACTAAATATAAAAACATATTAAAAATCTTCATTTATATTGTTTGAGGAAAAGATTATTTTAGGGTGAGAAATGTGGTTTTAGTCTCGCCTTCACAGAGCCAAAAAGCGAGACATATGTATGTTGTTGTCGGCGGTGGCGTCGTCAACAATGTATTAGTGTGTGATTAGGTCTAGTTTACGGTGAACCACTAGTGTGAGGTCAATGATATTTGGTATGTAGTTGTATAAGCATTGGCATATATCATTTCCATAGAGATTCGTTGGCCCTGTCCCCCCAGTCATGGTCTATTTACGTTTGCATAGTTTACATGTATTGGTTTGTGATTTATAGATCGGTTTAAGATAAACAACTAATGTTAAGTTAATGGTATTGGTATTCAAATGTATTGGCATTTGCTTGCGGCTTAGAAAAGGAAACTAAGAACACATGACTTACAATAAGTTTAACAAAGAATACAAAAAAATGTGATAGCTAGATAGATATTTGCTACCCAACTGGGAACTTGGGAGTCTCAGAATTTGAATTTAGAAACACCATGATAGCTGTAACCTTTAAATGTTGACAATTAAAAGTACTTAGAATAAATGACTCAAAAACAGTTTTACCGAAAATTGTTTTTCATCATAATTAAATGTATATGTTATTATGAAATTAGGTAGATTGTTGATATTCTGGCATACTTCTAAAATTATTTAATACCCCCCCCCCCCCCCCCCCCCCCCAAAAAAAAATGAAGAGGAAAAAATTTGGGGTTATATAGGAATCGCTAGGTCCTGTCTATCCTTCCGCCTTCCTGTCCAGATTATTCTGTTTGTACCGTAAAACTTCGGTTAACCATGCTTAGTATGGTCAGGTTGCTCTGACATTGACTTACCCTTTTGATAGTAAAACCAAGTCTAATTCGTGTTTTGCTCACAACTTTTGTACTGTAAAACATACTAAAAAGTAAAATCACAAAAATACTGAACTCCGAGGAAAATTCAATCGGAAAGTCCCTAATCACATGGCAAAATCAAATGACAAAACACATCAAACGAATGGACAACAACTGTCATATTCCTGACTTGGTACAGGCATTTTGAAATGTAGAAAATGGTGGATTGAACCTGGTTTTATAGCGCTAAACCTCTCACTTGTACGACAGTCTCATCAAATTCCGTTATATTCACAACGATGCGTGAACAAAACAGACATAATAAATAAAATAGTCAAAATATGGGCACAGCAGTCATCACTGTGTTACAATATCAAAACAAATAATCATTTACAAAAAAGCACAAAAGCCTCTATCAAATTAAAAACCACATTCATTGCTTCGCGTTTCTGACGTCAGAAAAAGTATACGTCACATAAAAGAAATTTTGTCGTTCAATGTTTATTCAAAACAATTTAATAATTTCACATGGGGAATGTTGGTATACAGGGTTAAAAAATCAAAAGTTATGTTAGAATTAATTTCAGAAATAGACCGAGATTTAAAATTGTTCAGAAGTTCTTTAGAATTTTTAAGAATCCACATATGGTTAATACCACTACGCGAGTAAAATAAATTTGTCGTTTGTCGTTCAAAGTATTTTCAAATTTATAATAGAACAATAACATAATGACATATAATAGAACAATAGCATAATGACGGGATCTTTTAAAGTACAGAGTCACGTTATAAGAACCAAAGAAACACAAAAAGTCGCATATACAAAACACACCAGCAAAAATGAAAGATAATACAAACACATTGACGGGATGTATAAGTATCGAGCCTCGTCAAATGGATATCACAGAAAACAAACCAAACAGTAAAAGTAATATTAATAATAGAACAAAGACAAACGAAAGAACAATATAACACGTTGTTAAGATGATAAACAACGTCAGTACGCAGAATCTATAATTCAAGACCATCATGTATTATTTGTGAAGTTGATACGGAATATTTATCAACAAGGTCTTGGTACCTTCCGATGAACTTTTTTAGAAAAAGGACGAGACGTTTTTTGACATGCCCCTGGTTCATTAACTTTCTGCTCAGACACTGGTGACGTTTTACAAAGTCTGAGTAGGAGCTGCAAGCTCTTGAATATCGAATAAGTTGGGAAATGTATATCCCATATGCAGGTGAAGTTGGTATATTGCTACTAAGGTGGGGGAAATTTATAATTTTAAAATTAAAATCGTCTCGTTTGTCATAGATTCTGGTACTGAGATGACTGTGTATGTCAAATTCGAGATATAAGTATAAAAATGAGGCGGATGAAGCCGTGTCTGTTGTTTCTTTAATTTCTAGTTCTGGGGGATATATTAATGGAACCCAATCAGAAATGTTCGGATTGTTAATGGAAGGAACATCATCAATATATCTAAAAGTGAAATTAAATAATCTGGCTTCTTTGATCTTCTTGTTTTTGGCAAGTGTCTGAAGGAACTCCGATTCATATGAAAATAAGAAGAGGTCGGCAAGGAGAGGCGCACAGTTCGTTCCCATAGGAATGCCGACAATTTGTTGAAAAAGTCTACCTCCAAATTCTACAAATATGTTGTCGATAAGAAACTCCAGCATACTGATCACTTGTTCTTCTGTGTAGCATGTTTTACCCTTTTGTTCACTATTAACAAAATATGCCTTATGATATCCCAAAGTAATAAATTTATAGCGTATGCTACCATTTTTATGATGAAAGGCATTGTGGATTATTTCTTTCAGGCGATTTTTCAATTTCACATGGGGAATGGTGGTATACAGGGTTGAAAAATCAAAAGTTTTGATAGAACTAATTTCAGAAAAAGACCGAGGGGCGAAAGATACCAGAGGGAAATTCAAACTCATAGATCGAAAATAAACTGACAACGCCATGGCTAAAAAATAAAAAGACAAACAGACAAATAATAGTACACAAGACACAACATAGAAAACTAAAGACCAAACAACACGAACCCCATCAAAAACTCGGGGTGGTCTCTGGTGCTCTGGACGGGTAAGCAGATCCTGCTCCACATGTGGCACCCGTCATGTTGCTCATTTTATTACAAACCCGGTAAATAGTCTAATTTGGTAGGTCATATTGGTGAAAAGGGAACCGGATAGTAGTTACCTCATAAGGAACATATCCGATATCATATGTGAAACGGATATTCCATAACGGTCAACGAACTCGTGATGGCGTCCGTAAAATTTACGAAGGGATGATTTCAACTTCACCATTTGGAACTCTTGGTTTAATAGCTTCCTTGTGAGTCAGTCCATTCTGACCTTGACCTTTACCTCTGACCATTATGATAGTTAACTTTGTCCAATTTGTGTCCGGTTTATAAAGTTTGTACTTTTAAACTTTGGTTTATATATCTCGGAAGGCAGTTGCATTATGGTCTTTGAATGTGTCATATTCAAAAGTCGGATCACTCTGACCTTGACTTTGTCGTTTGATACCTATGATAGTAAAACCTTGTCCAATTCGTGTCTGCGTCATATCTTGAATGTGTTCCTTAAAATTTTGGTTAACCAAACACGTTATTCAGTTGTATTATGGGCTTAGGGTGTGTCATATACCAAGGTCAGATCATTCTGATCTTTTACAGTTGACCCCTATGAGTTTTTAAACAGTGTTTGGTTTGTGTTTGGTGCATAACTTTTGTACTGTAGCACTTAGAGTGACAAAACTGTGTACGCAGAAGCATCATACTGACCTTGACATTCAATTTCAGAATTTCCAGTATGCAAACCTCACACTTTGTTCCTGGATCAGTATGAATCATTCAGATTGAACTATCATTAACAATGTGTCAATTTAACGCAAAGTCGGAATGACTATATAAAATGAATGGCTGAAAACTAAAAATTTCAAAATGGCATTGCCCCAATGCTGAATTTAACAGCAGAACTTAAAATATATTTCAGGGTTATTCGTACCTCTACGAATCTAGAGTACATTAACTTTTACTTCCTGTCTACATATTGCCGTTGTTGATTAAATACTTTCGTTTGATGTGTTTGAGCTTTTGGTTTTTCCATTTGATTAGGGACTTTCCGTTTTTGAATTTTCCTCGGGTTTCAGTATTTTTGTGATTTTACTTTTTCATATAAATTAACCTTTACTACGATTGTATTGGTTTTAAGTTTGCTGTCTTATTTAAAAATAGATGTTGCATTTATTTCCAATGAAGCAACTGTCCATAAGTGTTCAAAAGAGGAAGTTATATAAGCAATTATAGATCACCATACGGTTTTCAACAATGAGAAAAACCCATACCATATAGTCGGCTATACAAGGCACTGAAACGTGAAACAATTCAAACAAGGAAAAACGGCTTAATTGTATTCTTATTCAATCAATAACAATACAATTGACAAAAAATAAATACGAAGGACATGAGCCAATCAAATGTACTTAATCACAGGCCCCTGACATGGATGGGCACATTAAGAATGTAACAGAGCTGGCTGTCTGGGTATTGAATTATAAAATGATTTTAGCTACAGTAAGGTTCCAATGGAGAATTTCAAAATTTTACATGATTAACATATAAAAAAAATGATTTTTGATGATTGCTGATGAGACAAACGATTTAGTAACAAACATCAAAGCTGTGATTAAATTCATAAAGTGAAATAATACACATCTACCGTTGCTAACTTTCCACAGGTGCTATCCAGCACTTTGATTGTTAAAGTCTTCCAAAAGAGTTTCAATTGACACCCAGTACAGCATTTAAACAATGTTTTCAAAATTTTCATGTTTATTCAAAAGTAATCAAAATTATTCAGGGTCAGCAAACTTTTCAACTTGCCAATGTTGTTCGATAATTTAATAAAATTGTAAATGGAAATGGGGAATGTGTAAAAGAGACAACAACCCGACAAAAGAGCGGAAAACAGTCAAAGGCCACCATTGGGTCTTTAATACAGCGAGAAAATCCCGCACCCGGAGGCGTGCTTCAGCTGGCCCCTAAACAAAAATGTGTACTACATGTAGTTCAGTGATAATGGACTAATACTAAACTCCGAAATATATAAAAGAAACTCAAATTAAAAATCATACAAGACTAACAAAGGTCAGAGGCTCCTGACTTGGCTAAGTATAGCATTTATTGTACTTTATTTAAAGTTTTTTCTTGTAATTCTCAAAATTTGTCATGTCAAGTTACTCGTATTCTCGGCATTTCTTACCCTCCAGTAGACGGTTTTTTTTTGGTTTATTTTATTAAGCCTTCCTTACCTTGTTACAATAATAATGGTTGGTTATTTAAATAAAAATAAGAAGATGTGGTATGATTGCCAATGAGACCAAATTCTTTTGTGTGTTTGATAATTTTGAATTTTCAGGTTTATTGTATTACCCCTATGATTTCTTTTCTTCAAATCTGGGATTTAATACTAACATATATATAATATATTATGTCCAAGGACAAATTTACCTCTTTCAACATACTACTTTTTCTGCTGCATCTTCAATTAATCTATTATATTTATCAACTAAGCAGTGGTGGATCCAGGGAGGATGGTTCCGGGGGTTGGAACCCCCCTTTTTTGACGATCAATGCTTTTGAATTGGTTGAACCCCCCTTTTATCCTGGGTTGGAACCCCCTTTTTAAAATGGCTGTATCCGCCCCTGACTAAGTAAATAGTAATCCATTACGTGTTTATCAACATCTACACCATTAAATGATTCAATTTTGACAATTTTAATTCTTGATCAAGAAACTCGAGAAACCAAGGACGTAACGTCACAGTACCCAAATTGCATCTAGTACTCAAATTACACCTTTTCAACAAAAATAACTGCGGAAATCTTACAAGTTTTCTTTGAGACCAGAGACATATAATATGGGTATTAAGCAATCTGAGAAGTATACCAGTATATCACATATCTTTATTTATAATCAAAAACAATTGTATTATATGTCTCTGTTGAGACGAAACAATTAATATTTTTATGATCTGATATTATATACACGTCTTTTGACATAGGTAAATATATTTAGATATACACAAAACGTTAACAGTAAATATCAACAGATGAAGCATTCACTGGACAAAGTAAAATCTACGGAAACGTCGCCATTCGACGTTCACAGAAAGTCATCTTCTCAAAATGAGCAACAAAAATATGTTACAAGGATCTTATTTCTTAAAATATGAATAGACAGCATGGACTAATGTCAAATTCAAATAAAACAAAACAGCTGTTATTCGAATTTTAAGAATGTGAATTTAAGCATGGATGCAATTTGGGTACTCCTCATTACAGAATCATGGATCGTTTGGAGGTCGGTTCAAACCTATTTTTTCTATGATTCAATAATGATTCAAAATTAAATTGGTGTAACTATAAAGTGAATAAGGATACGTCTACAAAATTAACACAGAATGGAAACTTTTGTCTGGATCATAAAAAAACGTTGGTGAAAAAACTCCCAAAATAGGTGCAATTCAGATGTGGATTTGGGGAGGGGGAGGGTGCCCGTCCCCCTTTTGCGTGAAAAATTTGGGTGATTATGTAGGGAATCACTGAAGCATGACTAGAACGGGTCCCCTCTTATGCAGTCAGTGGGCCCCCTTATGAAAATTTCTGGATCTGCCACTGTAATTTGGGTACACTCACGTTATAATTACATGTATTAGAAATACTCATGCTAGGGTGCTACCATTTTATTTTTATGGGGCTAGGATGAAAAACTTTGTCCTGTTTTTTTTTTTGTAATCTCTGTCCTGCCTTTTTAATTTTTCACTGTATTCGGTCCTGCCTTTTTTTATTAGTTTATCCTGACTATTTTTTATATAAATTGTCATCCGGCCTTTTTTTTTGCCAAGTTGCTCATCCTGCCTTTTTTTTACTCAAAACTCCTGTCCCGCCGTTTCTTTTTTGAATTTCATCCTAGCCCCTACATTGTAATAATCAGTATCTTCCATAGATTTAATATCCAGTAGTTAAAATGGTAAAATATAATGTCTTTTTGGTGTATCCATGGCAACAATCTGCATTTATTTGCTATAAAATAATTCAAAAAGGGGGGTAAAGATGTCACATATTTCCCAAAAATTTGGCCAGAAGTAGAATTTCTATCCCTTGGAGTGATACCTTTTCTGAAACTGTTTACATATATCTATCAAGACATCAAATAAAAATCATATGTCTTTCGTCTCATTTTTTTGAAAAATTGCGTCAAAAACTTCGTGTAGAAAAAAAAGTGTTTGTAAACATTACATTAATTTCTGGATTTATGGCGGGTCTATCTATGAAAATACGGACAGTCAAACAGAAAAATGTCAAAAATACTCTTGATGTTCTTATAAACCAACTTTGAAGTCTAAATTAGTACTCAGCTTTCTAAAAATGAATTTCATTGCACAATAACTTTCATATTTGAAAAATCCACATGGGCCAAAATGCGAAACCACACTCCTAACTGTGTATTGCTACATTAATAGTAAATATTTTTTTTTCAAATTCTCCCTTTAATTAATTTTCTGTGTTCTGCTAGCTAAAACGAGTAAAATCGCCTTTTATTTTTGATAAATTGGTTGAGTAATAGATATTTTATGAAGGTTAGCAGTTGACAATGAAACGCGACAAAACCTGATTTAAAGAAAGGTGCCAAGTTAAAGGGTAAAATCTCATTTCTACCTCAGTTTTTGTTAAAATTTAAAAAACTATACCTCTTGTGTCAGTTTTGCAATGTTGAAAATCTTAATAAGATCACTGAAGATGCAGAATTGTACAAAATTTAGCAATTTAAAGCATGAAAATGTTAATCTTTTATGTGTATTGCATACCAAAAGCCTTGATTAAAAATTTTGGTAAAGGGAATCAATTTCCAACAGCTGAATCAACTATACATTTAATATATACCAAATTGTAACATGAAATCTTGATAAAAATAATAATTTGATATATTCGCAAGAAAAAATACAAAGCGTTCAATAATTAGGCTACTACATACAGCGTAGTCCCCCCGAAGCAATGGTTAAGCCAATAGAGAACAAATATAAGCTTTGCGTCAAAACGTCTAGTTTTGGTTGCTTAAGACTGTAAACAATAATATTAATATGTATTGTCATTCTTTAACACTTTATCCCCTCAGACGTTGATTGAGAATCTAAATATCAATAGATTTGTGGTATGAAAAGTCTTAAATTATGCTCTTCTGAGCTTTGTTCGAATGCCATAAGGTAGCAATACACAGTTAGAAAAAACATGTAAAAATTAACTCTCATAAAGTTTACCATCCCCTTTTCTTTGCTTTCTTACAAATTAAGCTTATTGTTTGTGTCATATATGTGCATATGTTTGCAATCAGTATCTTCCATAGATTTAATATCCAGTAGTTAAAATGGTAAAATATAATTCCATTTTGGTGTATCATGGCAACACTCTGCATTTATTTGCTATAAAATAATGCAAAAAGGTGGGCAAAGATGTCACATATATTTCCCAAAATTTGGCCAAAAGTAGAATTTCAATCCCTTGGAGTGATACCTTTTCTGAAACTGTTTACATATCTATCAAGAAATCAAATAAAAATCATATGTCTTTCATCTCATTTTTTTGTAAAATTGCGTCAAAAACTTCGTGTAGAAAAAAAAGTGTTTGTAAACATTACATTAATTTCTGGATCTATGGCCGGTCTAGCTATGAAAGTACGGACAGTCAAACAGAAAATAGCCCATAAAACATGTTAAAAATACTCTTGATGTTCTTATAAACCAACTTTGAATGCTAAATTAGTACTCAGCTTTCTACAAATGAATTTCATTGCAAAATAACTTTCATATTTGAAAAATCCACATGGGCCAAAATGCGTAACCACACTCCTAACTGTCACGGTATTGCTACCTTAGTCAGTATACGTCCTTGAAGAAACCAAGCTTTATTTGCAGGAATCCGCCTAGTTTTGAAAGCTGGGTCATCATTACTCACATTTCTGATTAAATCATTTAGAATGATTATATCTTGATGTTTTATATTTCAGCATAAATAAAAAAAGTTCATTTGCTTTTAAATATTTAAAATTTCCCGCCTTCATTTCTGAAGATCATTCACCTGTAAAATTATCGTTCTTTGGATAACCTGATCTGTTGACATCCGAAATATATTTGCAAAAATTAAATCATTTTGTTGATTGTAAGTATAAATAGTATTACGTACGTTTTGCAAACTCAAATATAGTTTGCATGCGATTATTTTTTGTCAATATAATTACGACAACCATTCAAACATTAAAATTAATCCTCGATTACACATATTTATTGCTTAAACACCGTTTTACATTTTACTCCCAGCACATGTACTCTGCACAGGTATTAAACAGACGCATTCTTTTAGGCACACACATATATAAACATATATTACTTTCAGATATTGGACAGAGTTCCATATGGCATCCCACGGATTAAACTGCCAGGTGTCGTGTTCTGATGTAGGGTGGGTGTTAGTGCCTAATGTGTATTTTTGTACAAATTGTCACAATTGTATTGATCATGTATGGAACGCTGTCGGTGACTTCGAGTTTTACTATTTAGTCACAGGCACTTGTCTATGAAAAATCCTATATTCTTTAGTGTATTTTTTTCTTAAGTGTCAAATGCCTGCGTATTTAGTGGGGACATAAAAAAATCAAGATCGTTATAAAAGAAAGTTGAATTAATCTAAACATTGATTAAGCTAAAATGTGTACTTATAATTACTTATGATTATATAATTCTTCCAGATTTTCAGTAATTATTAAAAAAAAACAAGTGGACACATTTAATCGTGTAACATATGTCAAATATTCATTACTAGTGGAGGTTTTCTCCCCGAGGGTATCTGCCCAGCCAATTAGTGACCATGAGTCTGCACTTCTGTGTAATACTAGCCCGGATTTTTTTTTAACAAAAAATCAAATTGCCGAAATTGTCTATTGACTGCTTATACATGTATAACATACAGGTTTAAAAGTTATAATCATAAAATTACGAGTTTTCATCAATTTTTTCGTATTTGCCTATTATCTTGAAAATTATAAAAATCTTCAAACGTATAGGTCAGCTGACATATGTCCCCATTCAAAAGCATTGCTCTTCAAATAAAGGGCGTTCCAACCACCGGGCTCCCCCTTTTTGGACCCGCTACTGATTAAAACAGTGCATGTATATATATATATATAACAAGTTGTTTGTAAACCTTCATATTTTTAAATAATTTATTCTCTAGTATACTATTATAAGGGAACGACTATTTAACCTACAGGGGGTACTTTATTTTTTCGTTCCACAGGAGCATGACATTTGTTTTTTTTTTGTTCCACAGGAGCATGACATTTGGTTTTTTTGTTCCACATGAGCATGACATTTGGTTTTTTTTGTTCCACAGGAGCATGACATTTGTTTTTTTTTTGTTCCACAGGAGCATGACATTTGTTTTTTTTTTGTTCCACAGGAGCATGACATTTGTTTTTTTTTTTGTTCCACAGGAGCATGACATTTGTTTTTTTTTTATTCCACAGGAGCATGACATTTGTTTTTTTTTTGTTCCACAGGAGCATGACATTTGTTTTTGTCACGCAAAGAACGACAATTTTTTTAAAGAACTTAAAAATTAAATTTAACGACAAAAACTCTTGATCAGAAAATCTTATTTTTTTTCTCTCTTATTTCTTTAAAATTGGGAATCAGATGATAATTTTATTAAAAATATATAAACCCCTGCCCATCCGAGTTAAATGATCGTTCCCTACCCAATTTTGTTTTCAAATGATTTCAACTGTGAAATATAATACGTTTACATCAGTACTGTAAAGTTTCACGCAATGGCTCACGTATTTTCTTGCTAATTTGGCGGCATTTTCATTTGTTCTATTGTTTTTCTCTTTGATCTATACATTTTTTGCCAAATCTCAGCATGCATTTGCTTCATGAAAACTTAACAACTCTGATACATATGTACGTGTGTTCAATACATAGACATATTAAATGGTATGTTTGGATATTAAATTGAGCCATGTTTACCTGATTTATTTTCAGAGGAGAAACGTAGCATTTCATGGTAATGGAGATTTCCCGAAACAGTGAAGTAAACCAGTTCTCTTGTGGTTTATGTGGTTCGAATTTCAGTCTCAGCTACCTTTTACGTAAACATATTAAAACTCATACTGTTGGAAAATATAAATGCGACGTATGTTATAAAGCTTTTCACGCGATCAAAGCTTTAAATGTACACACAAGAACACACACTGGTGAGAGACCTTACAAGTGTGACGTTTGTGATCAAGGTTTAAACTCAGTAGCATCTTTAAATTCGCACAAGAGAATTCATACGGGTGAAAAGCCGTTTAGATGTATAGTATGCGACAAACGGTTTAATCAAAGTTCACATCTGTTAAGACACATAAAAATACACACTAATGATAGACCTTACGTGTGTAAAGAGTGTGGAAAACGATTTATTGAGAGATCAGACTTAAAGCGACACATAATAAAACACACTATTATAAAGGAAAACAGTAATGTGTGTGAAAAACCGTATAAGTGTGATGAGTGTGGCAAATGCTTTAGATATGGTGAAAGTATGAAAAAGCATATGAAAACACATAACTTACTCAAAATAAACACATCTGATAAAAGACAAGAAATACGTAGGAGTAAACCTACTATTGACATTAAAATCATACTTCACAAATGTAATTTTTGTGATGAAGCATTTAGCCAAAAAGGAAATATGTATGCACACCAGAAAACACACAAGAATGATAAAGAATTTAAATGTGATGTATGTGGTAATGGCTTTCCACAAAATAATGAGTTACAAGCGCACATAGAAATACACACGGGTGAAAAACTTTATAAATGTTATACGTGTGGCAATGAGTTTATTTCTAATTCAAATTTAAAGATCCACATGAGAACACATACTGGCGAAAAACCGTTCGAATGCGAAGTCTGTGGTAAAAGGTTTAATCATAGTCCACATTTGTCACGACATATGAAAATACACACTGGCGAAAGACCATACGTGTGTAGTAAGTGTGGGAAAGGGTTTATTGAGAAATGTGACTTAAAACGACATGATATGAAAACGCATACTGAAAAACTCCAAAGTGTCTCGAGTAACAAGTCTTCCGAAGAGAATAAGACTGTTCTCATATCTAAGGAGGAAAACTCTTCTAAATGTGATGAAGTTCGTAGTTTACACGTGAAAGAAAACGAGAAAACACAAACGCTTATTACAAATGGCCAATCGTTTAAATGTAACAATGAAATAAATAAGTTAGACGATTCATGTCCAACTTCGAAGAATCATACGGGAACAGCTAATGGCTACATCCACACAACTGATGTTAAAGGTGAAGGTCAAAATGAAAAGGAACAAGTACAGGCACACTTGGAAATTTATACTAGTTTTAAACCTTTCAAGTGTAAAGATTGCGGGAAAGAGTTTTGGCAGGAGAGCAGTTTGCAGTCACATATGATCAAGCATTCAGGAGAGAAACATTTTAAGTGCAAGGAGTGTGGTAAAGGTTTTATGGGAGAAAAACCATTGCAGTCACACTATTTAGTACATTCTGGAGATAGACCGTTTAAGTGCGATGAATGTGGTAAAGGATTCATAACAAAAAGTTCTTTAAAGGCACACTTTATAACACATTCTAGTGAGAGGCCTTTTAAGTGTGTTATATGTAACAAAACATTTAAGAAGTGGGCACACTTACAAAATCATGCAAGAATACATTCGACTGAAGACCAGTTTGAATGCGATGTATGCAACAAACGCTTTGCTGAAATAAAAGGCTTAAAAAGGCACAGACGAATACATACAGGAGAGAAACACACCTGCAATATCTGTGGGAAGGAGTTTACTTTTATTGATAGTATGAAGGCACATATGAGAACACATACTGGTGAAAAACCATACATGTGTTCTGAATGTGGGAAGCGATTCGGTCAACGACAACATTTGAATAGACACATGAAAATCCATACGGGTGAAAAACCTCATATGTGTGATGAGTGTGGTAAACGGTTTATTGATGGAAGAGACATGAGGAGACATAAGGAAATGCACACTAGGAAAAAAGTTAAATGTACTTCAATTAAAAAGACTTAGAGATTGTGAAATGGCAGACGACATTGAAAGAGGCGGGAAAACATCTTCTGAATTTACTTCCCAATAGGGTCGTATTTAAGCAGTTCGATTTACTAAAGTTTACATGATCACATATTCGTGTGTGTATATTTTGATTGTAGAACTTTGTATTTTGGTTAATATTGTCATTTTTAGGTTGCTACGTTTTATTCCTTACATTTTGACTTTAAACGCAAGGTCATGTCGAATTCAAACATGTGTCTCATCCTGCTACTTAAAAAAGGTCTGAAGATGGTACGAAAGTAGAAGTTGGAAAAGTTTTGGAATAAATAAAGTATATATGATTTATTAAAAACAGTAACTGTTATACTGTTCAGAAGTGCATTTTGTCTCGCCTGCTACTTCTGTCCCTATTTCTGTTTCAGAAAGCGAGACATAGGGATAGTGATTCGTCGGCAATGGCGGCGTTAACTAATTACTTAAACACTTAATATCTCCGATGTTAGAAGACCTGGATGCCTCATGCTTTCTGTATAGATGTATAGACAAAGTCCTCTGTCCAACAGCAAACTAATTTTATGGATCAGTGAACAAGGTTCAGTTTTCGTGGTCAAGTCCATATCGCGGATACTATAAGCAATATGTCTACTATATTTGGTGTCTGAACTAATGAGGGTAAGGTGTACGTGTTCAACTGGCAGGTGTCATCTGAACTTGATCATTTTCGTGTGTTAATTTGACAATGTTAAGTTTTTGTGCTTTTGTCTATTTTCAGAAATTCAAAGCAATACGTAGAGTGTACATGTCTGTCTGGTAGGGTTATTATGACCTTGACTTCATTTTCATGGTTCATTGGTCAATGATAAGTTTTCGTAATTGTGTGAGTTTGTCAGATACTATAAGCAAAAGATTAACTATATTTGGTGTATGCATGGAATAATTGTACAGTGCATGTCTTTCTGGCAGGGTTTATATGACCTTGACCTCTTTTTCATGGTTCATTGGTCAGTGATAAGGTTTATGGGTTTGGTCTGTTTCTCGGGTATACTATTAGCGATCGGACAACTATAATTGGTGTATGGAATGATTGTAAGTCTGGCATGGTTCAACACACCTTGACATCATTTTAGTAGAAGATTGATAATGTAAAGTTCATATGATACTTGTAGTAAAACCTTCATATTACAGTTAAACAGGCGAGACATCTCAGCGTGTGCACTCTAGTTACACAAACCTAAATTTATATCTGAAGTAAAGCTTCGTATAGTCTTTCAGATACACATTAATTCGGCTTTAGTATGGGTGATTGTCCGATGCAATTTTACAAAATCTATAAAATTTGAAATGTTTTATTATACTGTCTTCAACATAATATTCAATATGATAATAGATATAAGAAGATGTGGTATGGGTGCCAATGAGACAACTCTCCATCTAAGTCGCAATTCATAAAAGTAAACCATTATAGGTCAAAGTACGGTCTTCAACACGGAGCCTTGGCTCACACCAAACAGCAAACTATAAAGGGCCCCAAAAATTACTAGACTCGGCTAAGTGTAAAACCATATGCATTCAAACGGGAAAACCAACGGTCTAATCTATATAAAAAACGAGAAACGAGAAACACTTATGAACCACATCAACAAACGACAACTACTGAACATCAGATTCCTGACTTAGGACAGGTGCAAACAATTGCAGCGGGTTTAAACGTTTTAATGGTACCAAACCTCCACCCTTATCTGAAACAATAGTGTAACATCACAACATAGAAAGTCACATTATAGAATATCAATCAAAAGACATATTAACACAAGTGAATATACACTGAACGAATAAATTTGATTTATGATACAATGTAAATACAAAATCGATAAAATAAGGGATGAATAATTAAAGTAACAGTATTGTATCGTTGTGAAATGTTAAACAATTTCAGAAAAACAACAAAAAGCTTGAACAAAAATCCGCCATTTGCAATAATATTAAACACAGGTAAATGAAAATAATTTGTTGTTAGGTATAATACATGTACAGTTCAAATCGAGAAAGGAAATATTTTTACAAAATAAATAATTTTGATGTTCATAGTACGAAGAAGAAGTACGATAAGGTTTATACTAATTTGAGGGAAACATGTTGTATAGCATTCAATAAAAGAAAAAGAAAAAAAAAACTAACTTATTCTTTTATATTTTTTGTAAATGTGACTTATTTGTATTGTTTATTGATTATTGTTGCTATTCAGTAGCAATCAAATTGTGCGGAGTATATTTTTTACATGGATATCTTAAATTGTCTCAATGTTTTTGGAAAATTAAATTTAAATTATAAATTTAAAAAAATATTTGAAGAAATTATATGATATGCGTGCGCACTGCATATCTGACTGGTTTCTATAGCAATCAGCTAGTAAGTCATCTATAAGTCTTTTGTTTTGACATCTGGATGATTGATTGATTGATGAGTGTTAAACGCCACTTTTAGCACTATTATTAAATTTTAAATGGTGTCCAGGAAGCCGGAGAGAACCATGAACTTTCGGTGGGAAAACTGACAAACATTGTCAATTAACATTAATTGGAGTCTAGCGTACCTTTAAAATTAAGAATGGAAATTGGGAATATGTCAGAGACAACAACCCGACCAAAGAGCAGACTACAGCCGAAGGCCACCAATGGGTCTTCAACGCAGCGAGAAAATCCCGCACCCGGAGGTGGTCCTCAGCCGGTCCCCGAATAAAATTGTGCACTAGTTCAATGAAAATTCACCATATAGTCTTTGCTAGCCAAGGCCAGGGTTACTATCCAACCCCCTAGAGGAGGGGACTTTCTAGGGTGTGCTTGACTATAGTGATTCAGCACGAGGTTTTTGGATTGATAAGGTTGTACATGACTTTTTGTAGACAATAAACGGTAGCCCATCATGAACAAATACGTGAGCAATCTCTGTTTAAAATTTGATAATGAAAATCTTTGTAATAACGTCTATGGATTTTTTAGCAAAAATCATGGCTTTATTTGCCACAAAACACCATTTTATATTAAATGCAATGAAAGAATAAACAGTTTTGCTTTAAACAACGTTTCCCGTTGGTATATGTTTAAATTACACATCACTTTTAATCTGTATACTAGTATTTGCTGTTTTGATATTGTAGCACTCTGAAAATTTTGTAACTTACAGAAGGGGATATAAACGGTACCTTAAAGACGAATAAGTAATTATAAAGTCAATGATATTTAATTAGCAGGTAGTTGTTTAAGCACTGGAACACATCATTTCCATAAATATTTTTGGCTTTGTCCCCCTTAGTCATGGCCTATTTACTTTGAAATTTATAAGTTAACATGTTAAAGTTTAATAAAAACCACTAATGAAACTAATGGAATAATAGAAGGCATGAAGTTCGTTTTAGCATGTCTCACTGCAATGTCTCGCCCTCTCACCATGGTTAATTGACTCTGAAACTCGCCTCGACGAATTTGAAAAAGCAAGACTTGGGCATACTGTGTTTGACGGCGGTGGCAACGTCAACAATCATGTATTAGTTTGTGAATCGCTAAGTTTTATTTTGAACCACAAGTGATTTTTGGTATGCAATGGTATGAGTCCTTGCACATTTCATTTCCATGGAGATTATTTGACCTGCTACCTTAGTCAGTGTCAATATTGGCCCTCTTGGTGTCTTTTGATTCTGAAACTTGCGCAATTCAATCGTTTGCATATATATATATATATTAGTGTGTGATTAGGTCCACTAGTTGTAGGTTAATGAAATTTAGTATAAATTTTTATGAGTATTGATATATTTCATTTTAATGGTGCTTATTTGGCCCGCTCCCTCAGTCATTTTCTACTAACTTCAAATGTTTTGCATAGTAAGCATGTTACAATAGTACCGTTTCAACTTCAATAGTTACTTATAACATAAAGGCTAGACAAACATCTGTGTCAACACTTTATTTTTATGTTTAAGGTGGCTGGGTGGTATAAATATGTAATATAGGATTTTGCTAATTTTTTTTATAAATGAACCTTATCATGTGCTTAGTGGAAAAGTAAAATAAAAAAATGGGTTCACCGTCTAGTTAAGAATTTTTGAAGGGTTAAAGTTTATTGGTTTTCGTTCAAGATTACTATAGAAATGATAGGGAAATGAATGCAAAGCTAGTTTTATTGAAGAATCTCTCATGAAACTTAATATAAGATTTTTTTATATTTGTGTTTTTTTTTGTTGCTTCAATAGTCTTTTTAATTAATCAAAAATAAAATCAACAAGTCACCGTCTAGTTAAGACAAAAAATTTACATCATTAAAAATAATGGATTTTTTTCAAATAGGGAGATAACTCTGTCTTTGACACATTTTTCTAATTTTGGGACCATATATAAACAGACCTGGTTATAAAAACTTGATAAACCTTCTATACATGTAAGACCATATATAATATATTTAATATTTCCAAACAATTGCAGTTGATTTGCACATTGGTTGCCATGGCAACCAGCAGTCAAAATGGAAAATAACTCATTTTTAGGTTTTTTTTTAATTTTCAGTTCAAATTCAAGACCATACAATTTGAAAAATGAGCAGGCAGTATCTACTTTAATAGGGATGTGTTTGTTTATAAAACCTGCATATTTATATGAACTGTGGAATCCCTGGGGCAAACAGTTCTTAGTTTGTCTGTCCGTTCTCTTGCTTAATACCACTGGTTTCAGTTGATAATTTAAGTATCTCTTGCTTGATTGTAATAAAACTTGGAGACTCCTGACTTTTTTTATGAAACCTAGACTCACTCAGACACCTGACTTACACTGATTTTTCAGATTACAAGACAATCCCTTATCTGCAATAAATATCCCACCCCAGGGATCTCCACCATTAGTATTCCAATTTTGATGAAACTTTGCAAGAAGGTATTTTCATTTTGTTTTTGGTGTTTTGTACATAAATCAGGCTGTTTTGACATGTTTGAATTGCCTTACATTTGTCATTTGGTTTTATAGCTTGCTAAACGGTATGGAGTTGGCTCACAGTTGAAGGCCATATGGGGACATATAGTTCTTTAATTCTATCTCTATTGGTCTCTGGTGGCAAGTTTTCTCAGTGGCAATCATGCCCCGTATATCCCATCTTTTTATATATATTTGAAATTTTATACACAATGCTGACAAATATAGCACACAGGAAAACTTCTATGTTTGTTGTATAATGGAATTATTAGAAGATCCATTTATATCTAAGTTTGACATAGACAAATTCTTCTTTCATTTCCTAGTACTTGTTTATGTATAAAAATTAATAAATGAGATAGTTGAACCTGATTCACCCGCCATTTACGGGTAATCATTTTTTATATCTGTCAATTTATCCGTTTTATGCTTTTGAAATTACATAACAAAAAATTTCAGGTTAAATAGTGTGTTATCAGATTTGTATTAAGTAGAAAATGTGTCCATAAGACACAGGATGTCCTGCCATTAAATGTAGGTCACAGTAATCAAATTGTTGATGACCTGAGTAGTACCATATAAGAATACTGTGGTGGTGATATATCACAATAGGTTTCTGTGAAATGAACCTTAACACAAGACTTAACCAAAGACACAAAAGCAGTAAATGAAGGTCATAGTGACTCAAGTAATGTATTGTACTACTAGTATACAAGATGTCTGTGGAGAAAAAATATCATCGATATATTACCATTAGTTTCTGAGAAATGAAGCTAAATGCAAAACTTAACTGGAAAGGGATGTACATACTTATGGACCGACAAGGGTATATTAGTATATCTATATAATCCATCCACATTTGTGGCAGGGCATAATAAAATCCAATCTTGGCAACTTTTTCAAATAAATATAAATAACAACATGCAGTATTGTGATAAAAGTACTCATTTATGATCATATTTCAGTTCCCATAAATTACTTATTCAGATTCAATAAATTCCAAAAAAAAAATAATTAGTATAAAAGTGTTGAAAAGCATGGTTTGATTAGTAGCAGGCCAACTTTACAGGTTTATTCTATTCATATAACCTTATGACTTTCTTTTCAAAGTGTGCGAATTTTTTAAAATCCTGTTCTGTATAATCAGGTTATGCAAATACCTGTCACCCACCCCACCCCCTAATTGGGACTAAAATTACATGCAAGTTTTCCACTAAAAAGTAAAAATTGAAAAATATATTGCATCAGCATACATTGTACTTCTTAACATATGCAAAAAGAATTTATTTCCTATAGCTTCTGTATTAATTTTTATGTGTAAATATGCGTTATTGCCTAAATTGACCAACATAACCTTTTTCAATCATGATGATGATGAGTTTTTAACGACCTTGACTGGCTATACAGTCCTTGCACAGTCTTTTTTCTTTAATTCAATTATACATGGCCAAGAACATTTTATACTCATGTGGAAGAATTAAATAACCTTAAAAATTTTAAATTGGTAGAAAAAAATACATTTTTATGTCATGCATGTAAAGCCACCTTCTTTAGATAATCTTTTACTTTTCAGGCACAGGCACATATTAATTTAAATTTTGAATAATTGTAATAAATCTTGAATCCTTGATACATTGAATGATTCTTCAATTGCTTTACATACATGCTACATAATATATTAGGGCATTTAAAAAGCACATTTTTGCAATATTAAAATTTTTAAACCACAAAATTGATATGTGTAGTTAAAATTGTTAAATTAATAAATGTAAAAAATGAACTACCTAAGCTAAATGATTAAAATGGATATATCAGTATTGTCTTTAATAAAGATTGTATTTTTACTTTGTCAACTCTTTTATAATTCCCTAATCTAAGGTCTATGGTCATGCAAAGTCTACAATAAATGTCTATTCAGTTTGAAAATAAAATTGCCTAGTTTGGGAAGTCTTTTGCCCCTTTTTTCGAAATCATGGATACACATTTGTAACATTTTGTTAACTGCATTTCTTTTAGACAATACCCGGCATTTAAAATGAAAATATAAAAAAAAACACACTAGACTTGCACTTTCTCAATAAGATTTTTACATGCCTTTTATAGCTGACTATGTGGTATGGGCTTTGCTCATTGCTGAGCATGTTGTGGTGCAGTGACCTATTGTTGTTAATTTCTGTGTCATTTGTTCTTTTGTTTTATTGGATATCATACCACATCTTTTTTTTGGTAT